GAGTAGTTTAGTGTGTCTGTAGCTTAGCGTCGAGAGGTCGGGGCAGTGCAAACACTACAGTTGGTTACTAAATGTCCCACACATGCATTGGCCCGATACAGTTCATGGGACCGGCGCTGGCCCTGTAGGCACACGGGCATGCTAATGCACGATGCCTGGGTAGGCACGTGGGCATGCTAATGCGCGATGCCGGGGTATGCACGTGGGGCCGGCCGCACGTGGTACTGGCACAGGCGTGTCGCACCGGAGCTTTACCGGCCCTCGTGCGGTGCCGCGACGGTCCAACTTCTAAGACAAAACGATCAGCAGACGATGGCGACCGTCGCGCAGCAAAAGATCGGAGGGCCCCGATCATCTGCTTGTCACAGGCAGGAAATTAGCGATAGTTACATATGTAGTGAAACCAACAAACAGAAAACGGTCTGCCTCCACGAGCTGAAAGCTGGAACCATAACTCTTCTGTTGTCGAGTTATACTCTGGAAGAGCTATAACTTCTGGCAAGGACCTCCTCTCATCATATCTGGTTCAGCTCGTGGGGTATCAATATCAAATGACACACTCACTAAGTGCTCCAGCCACGGGGGGTTCGGATAAGTGAACTTGCTTACTTGACCCCTCCCCGTGGAAGGCATAGCTGCCTGAATATGTCAATAATAACCGCCTGCCCCCCTCTGGAAGCCCCCTGAAAAATATTGCACCTTGAAAATTTTATTGCTGATTCGGACAACTCTTATAGAGCGCAGACGGAATCTGTTCAAAAAAATAAAAAAATAAAAAAATTGGGCGCTTTTTTTTCAAAACCGGTTTCCCGGTTCACCCCCCTTGGGCTGGTCCGGCTCCGGTTGGACCGGGGCTCAACCGACCGGTTGCCGACCCAGCAATGCTTTTCAGTGTCTTCACTGTAACAATATAAAGTTTCACAGCAAGTGGCCTAGCTCAGTTGGTTAGGCATACAAGTGGCAGCGCCCAGCCATTCATTCATTCCTGAGGGAGCCACGCAAAAGCGCTGCCACAGCGACTTGTGCAAGGAGGTCTGCAGAGAGCCCGGAGCTGAAGTGGGCGAGAGATAGGAGCGTAGTATAGCGATAGGGTAGAGGCAGCCATAGCTGCCATAGCTGTAGTTTAGGTGAAGTGTGTGTGTGTATGCGCGAGTGTTCAGAGTAACGCGTGTGGGATATCCAGCGTGATCCGCTGTATGTGAACAGTGAGTTGTTTGGGCGCAGAGTCGCCATAGCCAGTTGAAAGTGAACTTGTATCTGGATGCCATATCTCTGAGTTTTGAGTGGGCGCATGTCGCCAGTTTGTTGCGCTACTGTTTACATGCACGAAGAGTGTGAATGAGAACGAGTCTGATTGCATTGGTATCAGAGCTGGTACCCGCTATTCCACGCGCCGAAGTGGTGTGTCGCAGGAGATACGCGCCATAGCAGAGGTGGCCGCCGGAAGCCATAGTCCGCCATAGCGGATCTGAAGGTGGAAGAAGCCGCCGCGCACCTGCACAGAAGACCACGACGAAGAAGAAGACCGAGAGAGAGAGAGAGAGAGAGAGAGAGAGAGAGAGAGAGAG